CTTAAAATATATATTTTCATTAATACTACCTTCTCTACTCATTATAGCATTATAAATGCATTTAAACATAGTAAAAATATTATAAGACTGACATTCGAAATAGTTGAATATTTTGGACAAGAATATACGAACTAAATTATATTATACTAAGCTAGGTAACTATCACTGACTGATAAAAACGTTCGATCGGAATTAGAAAACAAGAACCGATTAAAAACTGTACAGCTATATTTTGATTTGGCAACTTTAAAAAACCTTGTTGAAAACAATAAAATGGCAAGTACTTGAAATGGAAAAATGTGATAAGGAAGACCTTACACATAATATTACGACTCTACATTTTTCTGTTAATTATACTGGGTTTGTTGCTATAATTAGATCATTGAATTAATATTGTATTTACTAATCACAAGAATAAATTTATTTTTAATAAACTAACAAAATATTATTTGCTATTATAAAATATGTAGGATGTCGACACCGGCAAGGGTGCGAGCGAGAGGTGTGTGAGTGAGAGGGGATATATATATATATATATATAGCGAGTTAATGGCGGAACGAAAGCGAAGCGTGGTAGCTCTCAATTAAAATTTAAAATAAAAGAAGTTTAGAAATATTTTCGCGATTTTATTCACAAATCCCGATCCCACATAAATAAACATTATGTAATTACGATTGTTAAATGTTGGCGAACTTAGATTTAATTAAAAGTTTAATATGTGCGCTTGCTTTATCATTATCAATTGAGATCAAAGAGAAATAAATGCGGACATGATCTTCCAAGGATGTTAAACGAAGTTCAGATAAATGAATGAAAATTATTATGTGCCAGGACTTCGTGGAGTAAATGAGTAAAGTATTCTTACCAATTTTTACTATGCCAAGACTACGTGGAATGGATTAGTTAAGTATACTGAATAACTTTTACTTTGGGAGCAACACTAAATTCACGAAAGTATGAAACAGTCGACAGTATGAAACAGCTGATTATTTTTCGTGAATTTTGTGTTGCTCTCATAGTAGAAGTTGTTCAGTATACTTAACTAGTCCACCCCACGAAGTCCTGGCACATAATAATTTTTATTAGTAATATTACATCTTATGTTTTCTTGCCGGTATAAAAGGTCTCCCATCGCAGATTTATGAACCGATGGTATGGAGTTTCTACTTTCACAAGTGTATGTAACAGCCTAAACTGAAAAAATACTGTTAGTGTACCGTTACAGGTCCCTATTATAAATATTGCAATAAACATAGTTTGAAAATAAAAAAATTGAGTTTTGCGGACATTTAGTAGATATATAAATATAATTTATGACAAATATTACCTTGCCTGGTAGAAATTGCATTTAGTGATAAGGCCGCCATTTACTACACTTTCTTGTTATGCCCAACCTGACATGTATTGTTTCTTTTTGTTGTTGACAATAAAGTATTATTATACATCGCTCGTATACCAAATTAAGTAGCTAATGCATTATGGAAATTTAAAATAACTAATGTACCACAACAGCCAGATCCGGGACAATATCGAAAAGTTCTTTTTCTACATTGACCCGACCGGAAATCAACCTCAGAGATGGCGACGTCAACCGGCGTGCGAGCCACTCTACGACGGAGGTGATAAGATGATATTAATTAACTATGTATAGAAAGAATAGAAAAGAAAGTGTTTATTTGGCATAAAATACAAAATAACATAACGCACTCCCGGTGCGACACTGTCACTTATGCAAAAAATTAGTTTTTCAGGAGAAGAGTTTTAAACTCTGCCTCCTCACAAGACAATGACTTTAGAAGTTACAGATGAGATGAATCATACGGAACATGGTTCCGTATGATTCATCTACAAAAGTGACATTATCGCACCAAGTAAAGGGGACTTTAGGACAATTATTACATATTTAACTAATTTTTGTATTTTTTACAAAAGTGACAGTGTCGCACCGGGGGTGCGATAATATTACATAGCAAAAAAACATGTAATAAGTTATACCAAACGGGCCTCTGCTCAGGATGAGCCGAAGCAACATTTGCTATGGCAACGATTTCAGGAGGTCTCCCTGAGACTCTTGAGGTACAACAAGTTACAGATACAACATGCAACTTAAACGTTTAAAATTTTTTAATCAATAAAAATATCTGTAACAAAAAATATCTGTTTCTAACTAAACTAAACTTTTTTATTACTTATTCAAGAAACAAACAGTTACAATTATTATGAATAGTAGTTTAACAGCTTGCCCTCTTTATAACTAAACTATATACGTATTATAGAAAGTATACATGATAATTAAGATATCAGTTGAATTCTTCAGCTCGTCAGTTCAGATGAAGAATCAAATTTGAGCTAAATTTGAGGCAATCAAATTTGAGCTAAACCTTCATCAGACTACTTAAAATCGATTGGAGAAATCTGGTATTTTGTTGTAAACTTACATGCTGAGTTTATGCCATTGTTTTATTATTTGAATTATCATTATATAAAACAACGAGTGATAGCGATGGACCCATTACAGCATAGGGAAATTCAACACCAACAATCCCCAAGGGACTTATGTTAAGTCTGAAAATGCTTGTATTTTAATTTAAATGGTAACATTGCAATATTTTATTTGACAAATAGATTTTAACTAGTAATAACAAACGATTTTATATTCGCATGCTTCAATGTATAGTTAAATAAGTAAGTTATTGTAATATCGCCTAATATAATTATACCTTGTTTAAAAGCAAATAAAAAATATTCTCAATAATCTAAAAAAAATAAATTCAGATTTTCCTCCGGAAGGAACACAACTGTACTGTAGTTTACCCTTCATTTGGACTTTATTTATTTGTTTGAATTTATTTGAAATCGGTGATTTTGATTAAGACACCTATATACCAAGCAATTAGTAAAAATGGTTGTTAATATATCTTATTTGGAATTAATGGAATGCTACTAGCTGTTTTTCACGACATTGCCTGCGTAAATTATAGCGTGTTACCTGCGTATGTTGTAGCTTCTCGTAGGTGAAAAAAAATCCAAAACCGGACTAGTATTTCCGCGGATTACGGACTATAAATTAATCTTCAAAAATTTGAAACAAAACCTCTTTACAATATTTGGATAGCTGACTGTTGATTGATCTTGTTTAAATGTAATTAATAAATAAAATAACGTTTTACTGTAAAGATATTGAGCATAAATATTAAATTAAATAGGTAGAGAATGTATCCGATGTAGCCCAGAACAGAAATCGATGTAGTTTCAAAGATGTCTGTCTGCTCGACTTGTGCTGTATATAACTTCAACGTCAATTGACACCTTCAAATGGCAAAACTGGAATAAAATGAGTATGAATGTTGATTAAACAGTTATATTGACATATTTCTGACCATCATCACGTGAATGGATATATTACAATACTTTTGACCCGCGACACGCTCCATGAACACCCATTAACGTGGCTCATTGTCGAAATACTCATCGCAGATGCGGATGTTACAAAATGCGCGGGCGCACAATTTAGAGCGTAAGTTTTAAGTGTTTTATCGATGAATAAATTATGATGTGGTAAATACCGACGTTTGTAACGTAAAGTAATAACTTATTTATAAGTAGATATTCTGCAGAATGGACGAATTAATTTTATTTATCTATTTATAATATTTAGGGCGAATTCCAGTAGCCCAACAGCTAAACTCTTGAGTTACTTGTATAACTTAACTGTGGCTTGAGTTTTTTACAGGTTTTTATTTATTTTGGATTGTTTATATTATTCTACAATATTTTGCTTTTATTAGATTTGCACTATGTGGATTTGCATACCTTTTACCTAAATATTCTTTAAATAAACAAAAGTGTTTATAGCAATTTAAATCATTTATGACGCTAAAAATATTGTTGCGTGCAATTTTTTTTTGTCTAGTCCTCTCTCAATTTCAGTTTCTTGGTTTCTAAATCTTAAGAGTACAACAATAGTACTGCCATCTGACCACTCTTTTAAGCACTATCATGAAGTTTCCACAACGTAACTAGGTACGTGAATGTTTCCTAACGTCACGTAACGAATGCAGAGTCTTTGTGGTGTATTCTAGCAGTACTAGATGGCGTTAGTTTCTACTCTACATATTTTTATAATTTAATTATCATATTAGAACGTGATACAAAAACATTAGATCTATTTTATGATAAATTCGCAAAAGAAGGAGTGGCACAGTTAAGAGATAGAGACGATACTAATGATATTTATTAAAAATATTTATTGATGCTAAAGCTAAACTAGCTTCATTTTCAACAGCGGGACTACACTTTACTCTATTCTCTCTAATCTTCATAGACCATACTATTTATAGTGTACCATATTTCAATATATCTCTGATAGTCATAGCCGCTACAGTGCTCTTTCAGTTCTCTCTCACTATCCACTCCACTTTTTCACACTGGATTTGTGTCCAACTAGTTTACTCTTCAATCGATTCGACTCCCCGATTCAAAGGAGATCGCCAAATAAATTGATTTTTAAAGTCCATTACCTCCTTTTGCATAGTTTGTAAAGCTTATGGTCATTATTTGTATGTATGTTTTTATATACTATAGGTATGTAATGTTTTGTAATATGATTATTATTAGTTTAGAATTATGGATATAAATTTTATGTTAGTTCTACTTTTATTGTTCTGTACTGTCTTCGCGTTTGTTATTTTATCCCAAAGGTTGACAGGGAAAGAGTGTTATTAATGTTATATATGCCTTTTATACCATAGTGTCATTCGTAAATGTAGTTAAATAAATTAATAATGCATAAAATATTAAATCAATAAAAAAGCAATCATTATTAATTTTTTAAATTTATATTAAATTATTCCTTTTTTTTAACTTTATGACAAAAAATTAAGTCGGCTTCTCAAGCGTTATGGTTGGATTTCGACAAAAGTTTAATAAAACTTTTGTCGAAAAATAAAACATGTCTTTATAAACTAAATATAGTTTTATATAGTTTAGTTGTACTTACTTCGGCCAGGTGAGTCCATTTGCGACGAGATAGCAGACTCCTGATACGATGCCAGCCAGCAAACCTAAGCTCACTCCAGCAGAGAGGGACAGAGTATCTGGCATTTTTTATCTTCCTCTTCGTTTTGATCCGAATGTTTACCAATTGATCATACGGTATTTCTTTTAATTCACAGATGACTACTATTTAAAAAAAAATGCTTAAATGAGTGTGCATACAAATCGGCTATTGTAATAATAAAACTATTAGTTACAAACTATTCCCTTAAGATAAACGTGTTACAAACTTCGATTATGTATAGATCAAAGCCTAAGAAGCTAGCAAATTTTTCCATTCAAAGTTCATTCCAAAAAGATTGATTATTTTCTTAACTATAAATAATCTGACGAAAAATGTAAATCTTCCCTGGAATACGAGAAACATTTCAAAACCAAAATCAGCTAAATCGGCCTAGCCATTCTCTAGTTTTAGCGAGACAAACAAACAGCAATCACATAGTTATATAGATTACGGATAATATAATTATAAAGAACTATAGAAGTTCATAATTTCATCATATTCATAGTTAATGCCAAGTGGATATGTAAATAGGTAATGCGTACTTCGTGCGGATATTAATATATTTTTATAATAATATGTATTTAATGGTAGAATGTTATACTCGTACAAGCTATAACGGGTCATTGTATACAAGGAAGATTTACTCTCGAACTAAGAGGTTAACAGAAACCGCGTTATATTATAATAGGTCTTAAGCGTTATGTGCCGTGTTTCACTTGTATTGCGAAAAAAGTAATACATAATAAAATAAAATAATGTCGTACACCGACACTCGGGAGATATTAGTGTGAGCCTACCATTAAGCACAAGGATGAACGCATTCTGTTGAATCGTCAAGATCTGTCAAAAGCGAAGCTGTTAGTTTTAGCTCGTGGTTTTAGCATATTTTAGATCTTGGATCATAAACACAATGGAAGTTAGATAACGATGATGTCATTATTTGATAGAAGGTATAAATTTTTTTTCATTGATCGCAACATTATAGGGAAATCTATTACTATCTAAAAGTGGAACGATGTATAATAAATCATTAATATAAAAAAATATATTTCGTCTCGAGAGTTCTAAATAAAGACTCGTTGGTTATATATAAGTAGGTTATATATAACCAACTCGAGCAGTCAATATTATTTTAGCATCGCTTTTTCGAACAGGAGAAGTGAAAAATTAATTATTATCTTGTGAAACTTACAAAGACTAATGTATTTGATTCATCTGAATGCAGTTTCACATGCTTATCTGCGCTTTTAAAGGTAATAACGAAATAATACAGTTAAGAAGCTAAAATTGCAAGTTTCACACACGAAGATAGGAGTATAATAATGTGAGATAATAGCCGAACGGGATAGCGAGCGCGTTCCCAGACATGAGATCTAGACCACTAGGTTCTTGGGAACATGTCTTTATAATTTGTTCTCACGACGGATCGTCGGTCATAGTTTTGGCATATATGTGAGGTTGTATACTTGTAAAGCAATCTCCTTAGCCCGACTTATTTATATAGTGTGTGTGCGAGATGAGCTCAACTGGTCAGTCCATAAATTATAGTAAATACATCAGTAGGTACTCCAGTCAATGAAGATGATAGTACTGCTAGAAATAGAGAGTCAATAACTATTTTTATATTAATAATTCACTTTTAAATTATTATGTATTGAACTTTTTCCATTTATGCGACTTCGCCAGCTAAATGATAGGTTATACCACCAGCGTATGATGTATATACATAGATTCCCGAAGGTGAATGTTCATAAACGGATGAGCATTTTCAAAGTTAAATACTTTATTATCTCTTTATGATATATATGCAAATAGTCTTGAGATTAATTTTTTTTTCATTGTATTATTCAAAAAAGATTTTTGAGCAACATACAATATCTATTACAGAAATGTGCAATTCTTGTTTAACCTATTATATAATAGCACAGTCCATAATATGTTAGGTTATACAAAACTAGATAATTATTAATGTGGTATTTTTTATGCCCTGTACAGACAGAGCATAAAAAATTAAAACATTTAATAAGAATTAAAACTCTTTTAAGTTAGATTAATATAATTTATCACCCGAGATATCTATGCCATTGCTTAGCAATTTCAAAGGGGTCTGTCGTCAAGCATTATCATACATATTATTTTTTTTTTATAACTATTTGTAAGCATATCTGGAAAAAATCTAAGCAGGTCTAATCTACATGTAATATGTATTATAAATTGGAATGGTAGAAGAGGGAAGGTGTGTAGCACACTACACATTCGTATAATGATGTCTTACTTTAACAATGACATATTAATAGGATACTACGGTTATCTCTCTCTTCCTAACTACTATGCACAGGCAGCGTCACGCACTTACTGATCGTAACTAGTTTTCTGTAATTTCTACGGACTTTTTAGATTCGATCTGAGTAGAGAATTATAACTTTCTATTGTTCTTGATCTCCGTTTAATACTTATTATGAGTTTCCTTCTCCTTATAGCGGAAAGATGAAGCGGCCGCAGTCTAGTTATATTCGAGGGTTATTTAATTATTAAACTAAAAAATAATGAACTTATATGTACGTTTATACATTTTTTCTGTAAGTAAGGGAAATATATTTTTCTGTGTATTCTACACACAAAAGCATTACGCGTTACCATTAAATGAGGTTCAGGGTTCGATTCTCGTTTGGATCAGTGGAGTTAATTAACTTTTCTATATTGTCTGGGATATGTGTGTTATGGAACTTTCTTTAATAATTCCATAATACAAATGCCGGAGCTACTTCATTTGGGATCTTATCAATGTATGAAATGTTATCGTGAAATAGAAGAAATTTTACTGTTTTGAGAACCCTTAGGAATCTGCTGTCGATGAAAACCTTCACCACAATTTTAAAATAAAATAATTGTTTGGTATTTAAGTATAATCTTCTAAAATTGTTTGTTAGGAAATAACCCTTCATTAAGATACACGTACATTGTGGGAACCATTTTGATTAGCTGAAATCGCTTGTTAATCAAGATGGTTGATCAGATGATTGTTCGTAAAGTCTTGAAACCTCTCGGCAACGTATTGTAATGACCATGACCAGATTAGAGTTGGACGCCCTGAGATATATGCGGTTGATGTTATGAGCGTTGTAATTTTCAACCACTTCTAACTTGCAATGATAATATTATTTAATTTAATACAGTTGATGCCAAGAAAACAGAAGATCTTTGGGGCTTTTCAATTTATGTTATAAATCAAATAATATATGAATAATATAAATACATTTTGCCTGATTTTATGAAAGGTAAAATAATCCCACTTTTAAAGGCAAGGGACAAGTTTTATAGTAATTTCAGACCAATATAGAGATATTGGTAGTATAGACTATGAGCGCTAAGTAAAGTATTTATTGCTAAGAAGTAAAATTTTTAAGAAAATTATTTACATTTATTATATTTGACCAATTTTGCATTAAAAATGCTGTACTGAAAAATATTCTAAATGAAAAATGGTAAAAAATCCACTTTGTCATTCATTGTCAATCTGTTATTTGTCCGTTAGTGGTTAAAGCTGATATAATGAGAGTTCTTTCGTTTTATATAATTAATTTAATGCCGTATGTATATTAGCAAATTTTTGTAATATAATTTGCCTACTTTTTAAAGTTTTCAAAATGTTATATTTTCCAAATTGGTATTACATTTTTATTTTTATTAAATATGTCCATATTTCCGAAAATATAACAGAAACTTGTAATTTCACTTGTAGGATACAACCCTATTTCGTTATGTCATGTCTTATATAATACTTATATATCAATTTTTTGCAGTAAATCTTAATTCTACATTCAAAGCGTTTACATCAGAGAAATTTGACAGATTTGTATATATATAGATATCAAAACTTCTTGCTATCGGCATTTATTGCGATCTATCAAGAGCATTCGACTGTGTTACTCATGAAACTCTGTTGCGGAAATAAGAGGGTCGTGGGTTAGAGTTTTGTGTGTCGAAAGTTTCCACAAACCTAATAAAATATTCGCTAGAATTCAAAAAGTTGTAATAAATGAATCATAATCTGCAAGACCACCCGTGTCTATTCTTTTATTGGTCAATATACACACTGTCAATATAGAATACGAACTCGATCACTTATAAAATCGGAGATTTTGATCCGATTTCGTGGTTAATTATGTTAAATAAGTTATAAAAGATATTCAATGCACAAAATTAGTTTAATATCGTAAAGTATTATAATAATTGCATTTATGCTCAGCCACAATTAAAGAAAATTAGCATATTTGAACCAGCTTGACGAAACAATTTAAAAACATTAATAGTTTAAATAATATCCTTATGTAATTATATATATGTATCAACTGCAAAAATATATTTTTGTTAAAGGGAAATGTTTTGGGAGACGTTAAAAAAGTAAAATCGTATTATTTTCGGGAGGACGTGATCTATCTTTCATCTCGTCATCATTTTCAGCTTTTTGGGATGCGAATTTGCATCTTATTTGTATTAATATATCGTATACTCTTTGGGTATAGCCGCAATATAATAATTATCCAAGTATTTTCAAATAAAACGTGTATATTATTTTTTAACATATATATACTTTTTTAAAGTATTTTTCTTATTGTACATCAAGACTTATATAAGTCTCTTTGTATAAATGCAGTAATTATGTCTTTGTTTTTCCAAGGGATTCGCTGTATAGATCTTAACATAATATGTTTATATTTTACAACTTAATATTTAAACCAGTCATAAATTGTAAGCAGGCATACAGGTGATTTTGTGAAAGGCTTTGAACGTATGATTACATGGTGATTACGTTACTTCCAAACCAGTGTAATGTATCTAAATCATAAGCATACTTTCGATTGTAACACTTGACTGACATCTAGTAATTAGGTGTGATATCGCCTACGGCCAGACAAAATTCAATAACACAAGTGCCGAAGCTAATTCATTTGGGATCTTAACAATGTATGAGATGGTGTCGTGAAATAGAAGAAATGTTACTGTTTTGAAAATTCTTAGCTTTTGATTGTAGGTACGTATGGAAACCTACATCACAAATAACATATTTAATTAGTAATAAGGTATAATATTTTAATTCAATACACTTAGATGTCATACATACATATTAGATAACATCCATTGCTTAGATACCGAAATAAGTAGCCAAAGCTTTTGTAATCGAACTCTGTAACAATTTAGGTTCTACGATACCCTTCCTTTTGAGTGTCGGGCATTAAAATGCGTCCAATGGCTTATGTGTCGAGTTCGAGCCTCATCGGTGCTTGAAAAAAAAAAAACGCGCCAAGCGCCTCGCGGTCACTTGGAATGCATTTTCTCAAGATTTTTGTATGAAACGTATATACTTTGTGATCATATTTAGAATCTAGATAAAATTGATTAAATAATTATCCCCATTTGTATAAGAGTACAAACTCCTTTGTTTTTTTTTAAATTATTGTGATATTAATACTAATCGATTTCTTATATTTTCACGCGCACTATCCATAAATGAAACAACTTTTAAACGGTTTCATCACGTTTGTATTTTTTAAGACGTTTGGGTTCACATAAAACTAAGGTGACATGGAACCGTAGTAGAGTCCGAAGCGTCTAAAACTAAATACAAACGAGATGAAATCGTTAAAAGTTCTTTCATTTATTAATATCTCATTTGAATATACATCTATATTCTTGGCTTTATTCAATAAATAATGGCTTAAGCTATATGGAAAAACAAAAAAAAACATATCTCTCAAGGAGCCGCTTAACGGCTGCCGCCGCTCCCCACGACCACGCAATTTTTTCTATTATTTCACTATCTAGGTTAAAGACTTATATATAAAGAAAGTGTTTAAAATAAACTAAGTTATTGTAAGAACAAAATAAATGAATTTAAATATGAATATATTCAAGTATTTTCGTAAATTTTCAACGGCGTGTCTACTCCAAAATCGAATTTAATACATAAAAAAAAAAGATTTTTTTAACATTTTATCATTAAGTACCCGCCCTTCTAATATTTAAAAAAAGAAAAAGTTTAATAATCGTACATTTATCAAACAAATTTTTTTAAATTTCGATCATCGATTCCATCATAGACTCCCGACTCGTTTTCACTAAAAACTTTTCTTAACTTTTACTATGGACCAGTGTTGACAACTTTATATTATTAGTTAGATTATTTCATCACGATTATTTTAAACCATAAGACTATAGGTATTAGATCTGTAATTAAAGTGATATAAGCCAACAAAGAGCATCGCTCCCAATCGACCGTACTACAGCTGTGCGACACACGCGCACATAACAGCGACCGACAGTATTACGGTCGACCGACATTCGAGGGCAGTGAAGAAAATCATGAAATCATTCAAAGGCTTCCTTACATTGATACCTCGACAAAAAAGTGTCGAGTTGATTTGTCAGACCGGAAATTTAACTTTTGTGAGGTTTTTCCCGCCTTCAAGACGAAGTATTGAATATTTAATTGATCATAGTGTTCTTGGTCTTAAATGAAACAATATAAACTTAAACATTTTTATTACGTAATATGTTCCTAGATATATTCATTATTTGCTTTCAATAATATATTAGTATGTATTTATATAAATTTGGCTGTTTCTTTAAAACATCCGAATTTACGTTTTACGTCGGGATGTGCGATAATGAACCTGAAACTCGCATATAGTTTTGACATTCTCACATTGAAAGGTTACAAAATATTTTATCTCAGTTTTTATCTTTTAAATTATTCAAATATTGAATTATTACAGAACATACTGATACATTTTTATATAGACCTTCTTTATAAATCTCTGAACTCTTTCGAGATACCAAGATACCATTTTATGCTTAAGGAAGCAGAGTCAAACCTAACAAATAAACACACAGTTGGAACCATAAATTAGATACGTTGTTAACCATTCTATGTCAACAACGAAGGAATCGAATATCCTAAATCCTTATGAACGTGTTTCTGTTAAATACGTTTGATTTAATCATGGTATCTGCATCCTTACTCGTTCCTAAGCTTGTATCCAGGATTTAAACATTAATAGCATCTAAGATGGCGTTATTCATGAATAAGCGTCATAAAAAAATCTTTATGATAAGCAGAATTCCCTCGGTTGCTTTATCTTATATCAAAATCTATTTAGGCGCATCAAAAAGCATATCTGTGCCTAAGCATAGATATAAATTTTCAATGATTCGAGGCCTTATGTAAAAATTTTCTTTAGTTTTTCTCTTGGCACTTTACTCTGTATTACAAAACGATAGTTTATTAGCTAATATTCTAAGGGCAATTTCTTACTTACTCTATGCTGCTCATGTTGCTTTATACTTTACTCTTTGGCTGATTTACTTTACTCTTTGTAGCATAGTATTTTTTGTATTTATACTTTTTTATTTATTGTTGATCGAAGTATTTATATTTATTTTTTAGTTTCTTTATTATTTTACAGTAATAATGTCTAATATAGGTCTTAGTTTGCTTCAATGCCTTCTTGGTATTCAGTGTAAAGATTTTACCATAATAGCCGCAGATCAAATGAATACTCAGAGTATCATCGTTTTGAAAAACGGTCAGTAACGGTCAGCTCCACTATCCATCTTTTGAAATTTTCAGGTACTTTCAGCGCTCAAACGGTTATACGTACGTAAAATGTCTGGATCACAATTTATTGTAAATTAAATTTTCTGCAATTTCATAATGTATAATAACATCATGGGAGCGATGAAAAAAAGGACAATCGCGAAAAATTGGTAAATTTTTGCCCTTGAATAACTCACGTCGTAGACATAAGATTTTAGGGCACTTTTGAGACAAGATTCAGAATGCGTAAATGAATGTTGTATACACAATCCACCTTATTATATCTCATTCCGAGATTGACCCTCCTTATGCCTTTTTGACTAGGGTCATTGGAAATCTTGAATCCGTTGAAATATATATTTTGAGTCGTCAGTATCCCTTCTCATTAACATATTTACTAACGCTAAATCTAAGAAGATCTAGAGATATCTAAGAAGAATGTACCATTTTAGATATTCTGCCTTCACACAGTGTGCTAATGGTTTATTTTTAGCTAAATATTTTAGTAAAAACATGTAGAACCTATAATCATAGTGATAATATTGAGCAAAAGTCAACATTAGTGGCATTGAAACGCCGACAAGGTCGGCTGTAATAGCACCCGACCTAGTTGCATTTTAAGTGTCATCTTGAAACAGTTTGCACTGAATATGACGTCCTCAACGCTGCGGTGTTTGACGTAAATGATAACGATAAAATCTACTTATTCTGAAAAGTTTCAGTTTAATCCTAAAAATTGCTAGGTTTTTAAGAAATTTACATTCGTGGTTAATTCCAGGCCCTTGGTTACGTTTGTAGCTAAAATAAGTCCAAGATAATAGGAAAAAATTGAGGAATTTGAACTCCTTTGACTTTATATTGGTGCATTTTATATGGACTTTTTGGAAGTTTAATAGTAAATGTGGCAAAAGATTAATAGCCGCATATTTTTGATTTACGCCTAGTTTATTCGGTTATCTTTCTATTTAAATCCCTTAAATAGAAGATACAGAAAAAATCCATCCTTATAAGAACACAAATTGCCTTAGATTTTGAATCGTATTGGCTTCTCAAATTTACTAATCAAAATGAGATGAAGAAGCGGGCAATACGAACCAAAAGAATTCAGGGTTCTTTGGGAAAAATAAAAAATTAAGACACCCAACTTTATCGTACAGCCACCTATCTATATTTCACATTTTTCATAAATAAAACAACAAGATTAATTCTATTTTCAGACGAAGATAAACTCTATCAGATCTCTGACAGACTACTCATGGGTTTGAACGGTACACCTGGCGATAGATTACAATTCTCCAACTTCATAGCTAAAAACCTACAACTCTATGAAATGAGAAACGGTTACAAACTAGATACGGCGGCAGTTGTTCATTTCACGAGGAAAAACCTTGTTGATGCTTTGAAGGGTGGGGTAAGTTATAAAATATGTGCACTGTTGACTTTAAGGGGGCTGCCATGCAATGTTTTGGTACGGAACCCATATATTCTATTTATACGGTGCTAATTAATAATTACGGTGGCGCTCATACTTGAACATGTGACAAGGTGATTTCCATAGAAATTACAAGAGTATTGTCATAAAAATAATAAGTCACGATGACGAAATACCACCAGTGTGCGTGTGCGTTATAGCCTTACTACTAAAAGGATGAATCTTTCTAAAAAAAAAGGAGCGTAAGCCAAAAAACTGTCTCCGTCTAGGAGTATGAGAATAAAATAAATACAATTAGTATGACGATTGCGCGGCAAAACTTTTTTTTTTATTAATTACTCGCAAACTTTAACAATTATTGTTTTTGTTTTTCATTTAATTTAGGCTGCAAGCAGTCATGGCCATAGAAAAATAATTATTGTAATTTGTTGAAATTATAATAGACTTATAGTGCCATACAATGTATGTCTTGTATAGTGTTGCTTTAATTCCTTCGGTCACAAAGTGAAGCACATGTTTTTAAGAATTTGTTTCGGTTCTTTTAAGCAATATTAAACCGCTGAATCTATAAAACAATAACTATGTAGGTACTAGTAACCTAAACTTATTAAAAAAAAAAACTATATGTGCACCATCTTTAGAAATTATTTTAAAACTGCCAAGCACTAAAATCACTTCTTATAAAAGAAAACCCTATGAAAATTAACTACATGTAGAAAAAAAACTTTAGACCCCATTATTTAATTTAGTATTATTTGATGTTCATGATCATATTTCCCTTTTCTTTTTACGAAGAATAGTTTCAAATCGTTATAATTATGTAAATGAAATTCATGTGTACACACACCGTCGTCAATAAGTGTAAGCGTCGGCCATATTTTTCTGTAAAATGCTTTCTTCCAATTGTCATTATTTGGTCAGTACTTTCATTTCTTGCATTATAAAACGCTCTAAAGAGGGTTAATTAGTTCGAAACTACTCCGCGTGAGTCGGTGTAAGTTATTTACTGTAATTTTAGTATAAACGCTAGCGGTATTTAATTGTTGCTACAATTTGAAGGTGAGTAGGTGGGTAATTGAAACAAATCAAAATTAGAAACTTTTTTGTACTCCTTTAAAGTCGTTCGAGTAGCTATTGATGGATTTTATATGATATAGCAAAGCTATTGACGAATTTTATATTAGTGATTTTCTTTAAGGTAAAACGGGAACCCAATTACTAAGACTTCGCTTTCTGTCTGTCTGTCTGTCACCAGGCTTTATCTTATGAACCGTGAACGATAGAAAAGATAGACAATTTAAATTTACACAGATGATGATATTTCTGTAACCGCTTCAAAAAAAAAAATACTGCAGAATAAAATAAATATTTAAATGAGCTCTCATATAAAAAACGTGGTTTTTTTTAAAGCTGGCTGATTAAATAAGGAAATTGATATTCGGTCAGTTGCAGAAACGTCCATTAGGGTTTAATGACATCTTTAAGCTCTAATGAATGTCAAATTTGTATGGGTAATGACGCTTTAAACTAATGTCAATTTTAATGGACGTTTGTGCAACTGGCCGATTATTAGATATATTTATTCAGCTAATGATCACTGAGAATGCGATAAAGAAATTCAACTTCTATTATATGGTGTAAAATTATAGTTTAAATGGAATGTTCGAGTTTAAATTCAGAAAGGTTATCAATAAAAAAAAAGAAAAAAGGGGTACTTAAAGCCTTAAGACATTCTCTACTACTCAACCGGAGAGCTATGAACAGATAATTTATGTATAGAGCGGTGCAGCATACAGAAAAATGCAAATGATGTTACTAAATAAAAAAATATCTACACTGATACAGTTATATACAAATCACATTGCACAAATAAATATCATAATATATACATACGTATACCATACATATATAAAGGTACACATACATACATAATCATAAAATAAAAAGAAGTAAAAATGTCAGATTCACGATCTCATTGGACAGGAGGTGATCACGTAGTAAACTTTTAAACGCTAGTTTGCTTGGAATAGATTGATTTATTATTTACTTTTTGATATTAAATAAAATGGTATTTAATTAATGGCTAAAAACTGTAGAGGTTGAATCGTATTAATAATTTCGGGCCAGTAAACATTTCAAACAAAATTTTATTTATGAATATGTAACTCATTTTCCACCAGTGGCTTCTCCCGCGTACTCTAATCCTGTAAACGTGTAGTTGTAAATGTGTAGGTTTAATATTAGGCTATATGTTAATCCAAATTTGTCATTATCCTAATACCAAATTTTTTTAATCCAATCAGTAGTTTTTGCGTGAACCAGTAACACACATTTACATCCATCCTAACAAACCTTCATATCTATAGGTCTATACCCACTCACTCATCATGATATCTCAGAAACTACAAGTACTAGGTGTTTCAAATTTTGCATGCGGGTTCATTTTGTGACTAAGACGGAATTTTATGAAATTCAATCTCTAAGGGGGTAAATTAGGGGATGAAAGTTTTTATGTTTTTTTTCTCATTTCTGGACTTAAAACTATATCACGCGGGCGAAGCTGACGTTGAAGGAAGGTTAGTTTATGATATTAGTAGGATTCCATCTGTCTTTAAAATTTGCTGTTCCGTATAGTTTCTACAAATATCTCTTGGAATACAAATGGCGAGTTTCTGATTTTTCTTCCAGGCACTATCTCCTTCCACCCTCCTTGTTTCTATCCTTTCAGAGTCCCTGTTTGGTGAACACGTTGGTGGCAGGGTACGACGACCAAGAAGGTGGGCAGCTGTACAGCTTGGACTTCCTCGCTGCTTGTGTGAAAGTACCCTTCGCCACTCATGGATACGGCGGATTTTTCTGTTTAAGTATTTTGGACAGTTATTACAAGCCTAGTAAGACAACATTGTTTTTTTTTTATTTTATTAACGGTAGAGGCAGAAAAATTATTGATAGAGACGGATAATAAGTTTCGAAATAAGTTATCTTTAAGTTTTGTATTTCAATTATTAAAGAGGCATTATATTCTTAATTGAAATATCAATACCTTTTTTACATAACGAACTAAAATTTTCCAGCGTTAACGGAATCGGAGGCCTATAATATTCTAAAGATGTGCGTCAGAGAGGTACACCAGAAGCTGTTCCTGAATTTACCGAATTTCCAAGTGAAGGTTCATATATTTAAATAACTTTTATAAAGAAAAATGAGTAAAGTATTCGAAAATGAAAGACTTTTCACCAGCAGATAAGCTTTCATAGACAGCTTTCAATTTGGGTAACGACATTTCTATGTAAGGGATAGATATCATTGGGTCTTAAACTTTTTCACACGGTAAGATAGATACAAATGATTGGTGTCAAGCTTCTTTATCTAGCCATAAAGTGTACATAAGAAGTATCATTCTGTTATTAAAAACAGCTTTGAACTCGACTTAGAGTGCAGCGCCGTCATAGTATAGAAGTTCAATCAAATATAACCTACTTCAGAAGATAATAGTGGTTTTAATTTCATTGAAGCTCTATGTCGTGGCTGCACTGTGCTTAACTTTTAGGCTATTTGAATAAAATAATAGAAAATATGCTTCTATGATAAAATGGCGACATTTGAGATGGTAGAAATTTTAAGTATTTTTCTAAAGAAATATTATAATATGGCAATGTAGATACTATATTTTAGATATGTGGTAATCTATATTTTGTTTTTAGGTAGTTTCCGCTCACGGCGTGAAAAATATGCCTGTAATTAATCCAGCCAGTTTTGTCGTTCATTGATAAATGGAATTCCAAGCTGTTTGATTGGAAAATTTCAAAAAAAAAATGTTGTTTTTCTGCAGGAGATCAAGTGGAATAGTCTCAACAAAGTGATCCAATTAATTTGTTAATTTTATATTTAAGCTGCAATCAATTGAACAGTAAATGCTTTAGTATTATTTACGACCTTGGTTGAATTGTCTAGTTTTAGAAAGTGTATTAAGTTGTCGTCTTAAAAGATCATCTTGCTGTGATACATTACAACTTTCTGACGAATTATATCGAGTCGGTTAATTTTATCAAGACATTGTTCTGCCACCTAGCGGATTTAGAAGTATAGTAAGTTAGCAGTTCAAATATATTGTGTCGCTTATAGTACTAATGAAAGCATACTGCCGCATAAGATTGCTAAATATTATACGTCTCTTGAATAAGAAAAATAGCCCATAGTAAATCGTTTTCCTAGGGCGCGGGCGGTCTAAGATGAAATAGATCAAAAAACCCTTTTGTTAATTGAGTTTAAACATTTGCAACCTTTTTATTTTAATGTTTTTGAATTTTTTATTTTATAGGTTAATTGTATGCACCTATGAATACAGGAATATTTTGTTTAATAAACTCGATATTGTATTGATTTGTTTGTTTATTTCTGCGACCGTTGTTTTTTGTAAACATCACTTGATACAATGTGAAATAGTAATGAGTTCATGATCTAAATGTTTTTTATCGGTATGTACAATAGGCTTAGTTTGATAGTAAGTCATTGTTTATTGTACATTGAAATTAAAGAGGTTAGGTGTCACACCTTTGTTTGCCAGGGATAATTTTCTTTATTACTGATCTGAGGACTAATCGTTAAACTTATTTAACGGGATTGTGATCCCGTTAAATAAGACTTTGAAAGATATACAGGGACTTCACGCTTCAACTGTTTGACCTATGATATTTAACGTGACTTTGAAATGTGATTTTTTTGAAAGATATTGAATGAGCGATATCGGTAACTGAATATCCAAGGAAAGGGTTAGACACAATATTACTTTATGTTTAAGTTACTAAGTTATTTATCGTGTTTCTTAATCGTTAAATCGTAATTAGTTTCAAAAGCGATTGTGACTAACATTATCCGATATACAACGTGTCCCAAAATTCAACGATAAGCGGGCGCCAAGAGGTACCCTTGCTCATGTGTACTTATGGAAAAATAAGAAAAAAAAATTATATCTTATCTTTTTTATTATAAAATTAAATTCGAAAATCTTCGAAAATTTACACCTTTTATGATATTTTCAACTACCACGACCACAACTTCTCAATTATGTTCAATCTTTTTTTGGTATCGGATACCTAAGTAGCACTACTATTCGCTACAACTCTTTCGAAAATTTTCGAATTTTATTTTATAATAAAAAAGATTAATAAGATATAATTTTTTTCTTATTTTTCCATAAGTACACATGAGCAGGTCTACCTCTTGGCGCCCGCTTATCGTTGAATTTTGGGACACGTTGTATATCACACATATGAAAAGGGTAAAATAAAGATTCACCCGACCAGGAAGAGTTGCCCGGGGTTCGAGTCCCATCCCAGAGTTCCAGGAACAAAGTGATTTTTTAAGCATTATTTATTAATAAATAAAGATTGAGCTTGAGTTATTTAATATATGTTTATCCAAATATATATAACTCAAAGTGGACTGACTGACTGACATAGTAATCTATCAACGCATAGCCCAAACCAATAGACGGATCGGGTTGAAATATGGCATTCAGGTAGATGTTATGACGTTGGCATCCGCTAAGAAAGGGTTTTGATAAATTCCACCCCTAAACGGATAAAATAGGTGATGAGACTTTATTTCAAGTATTTTACACGACATAATGTATAAATATTCTTTAGAGATGCTGCTCAAAGTAATTTTATCACGCGGACGAAGTCGCGGGCAAAATCTAGTTTATTATAAAATAATTAAATAGTAGTTAGCGTACAAGGACTTTCAGTAACGTGTAGAGGAAAACCTGAAATTTCTAGTAAGTAACATTGGGTTGGTTAATTTTATAGCTGAGCCTCGATATTAACTATCAATAAATATCAATTGATATATATAAACGTATATATCCATCGATATATATCATGATATCCGTTGGTATTTATCAGTGAACTCTGAATTGCACTTATGATATTGGACTGTAGGTACAATTGTAAAATTCAAGTCATTGACATTCTATTGAGATCCGTTTATTACGCAAACATCAGCAGAATTAGCCTGCAGTTACACTACAGATCTATAGTAACAACTACGTCTAGAATAATCTAGTAAAAGAATGAGGCAAACTTTCGTAATGTCAAAAACATTACCTTGTATGCTTTACGTTATCTTCTTATCATAGACGTACACCACATAAGACGGTTTTACTCATGATAGTAATGTAAACAGCGACGTCGCTTGCGCAGGTGATAAATATGAACATCACGACGCGTACATTAGCACGAATTGTAAAGGTACTGAAATATATGCGGTCATTTAAAGCGATCTCTCATCTATCGGAATGGAACGCGACGAATGAAACGTATTTTGGAATTATTTCGAGTTAAATTCAATTCTATATTTAATTTATAGATTAACGGTCACATCGAATCATAAGATATATTGGAAATATTACAATTTTCGGAGCTACATGTTGGCGGTTTCTTGTAAAATCGAAAAACCTTTGTATACTCCTTTTATGATATTTTTCATAGTTCTGTGGCCTTAGTGAAAGAACAATTTATTTACAAGGACAATAAAAATATATATAACCATATATTTTATTATTGGCTGTTGCATCCATATTTTGTGCATGTTATGCTTACATTTAGTAGGTAGTAGGCATTGTAACCAGATTTGTGAGCCAAATGCCAACACAGATTAGCTGAATAAATTTTGTGTAAAAGCAATTCTTTTGACTTTAAGCTGGATAAAGTTTTTGTATAACTTCTGTGTAAGCGCTTATACAGATGATATTCAAGCAATTTGGGCACAAAATATCTTGCTTCAATTTGGATAACATTTGATTAATAGCTACATAGCAGCTGAATAAATGTACAACACACTGAATATCTTCTGCATAAATTCTGTTTTTTCTTTAGTCCAGAAATTATACATCTCTTATGCATTTGTTAATTTGTGAGTTCAGATATGCAAATGATATTCACAATTCCGATCTCAGGGGAAGTTTTACAAAGAAATTATGAAAGTATAAATGTATTTTTCATTGTGAGGAGATTATTTTGTGTTACTTACTTCAAAATATTGTAATGGTCGCTAATTCACGACTTCAAAAATTTGGTAAGCAAATTGTTTCATACATTTTAAGTAAGTTTAAGGTGAATTATATAAACGCATGGCACTTTACTGTGAATTATCAATATGATTATTATACATTTTTTGAGCGCCTTCAGATAAAGCTACAAATTAAAAGGTAAACAAATGTGAAATAATATTTAAATTAAATTATCTTTACTTTTTATCAAATTTCAGTCCCAGATAATAATGAGAATCAAATTTTGTATAACTGCTAATGTTTCCTACTCACTAAACAAAGAGTTTCATAAGATAAATGTTGAGGATTTATATAAGAAGAGGTTATATCGAACGTTAGTTAATGGCGGACGGCCTATTTGAATAAAAGTGTCTATTTCAGTGATTATTCTGCTTATTTCAGCATAATAGTTCACATACGACTACATATCCAAAAATTATTTGGTTAAAAGTACAATAATTATACATTTCTCAGAGAAAGGTCTTAAATTACATAATGCAGTATACTCTAATTCAGCTTTTTAGGGTTCTTTTTTATAGAAAATAAATCCATGAATATTTGAGGTTGATGGGATCTATACTAATGTAGGTACTTTTTATACACTCGGACTTGTTGCGCTCGTGTAGTCAATAAGTAAGATACAAACGTAAACATCGAGATTTATTATATAATGTTAGTATTTATAATAGTGTTGTTGTAGTATTTTTGAAGTGTTATAGAAAAATTATATTTTTTTTTCAGAAACATGTTCAAAATCGTTTCGACTTGTTAAAAAGGCCGAGTTGAATTATCAACAGTGCCCGCTTCTAGGGAAAACAATGGAGTATTATACTGGCCAAAAAAAGGCGAGCTACTTTGCAAGAACCCGAGGAAAGCTGAGGAAGAATTATCTCAAATGTTGAACAGAACTGATACGGATGATACGGAATTAGAACAACATAATTTTTTATTTATTGAAAATAATAATAATATTTTTTATTAAATTCTGAGTTTTCTTCCAAATCAGTAGAACTTGAATCACTATCAAATTGATACGCAAACTTCTCTCGTTATCTGCACCTAAAGTTGGACCCGGTCCATTTGTTTGAATCACTAATCCTGATGGTGATGCACAATCATCGTGTACAGAACCCTCTTCAACTGTATTGGTCGCACTTGACCCGGGCCTATTTGTATTAGTTGTCAAACCCTTTTCTATTACTGCACAGATATTATTTTTTATCTTTTCATACTCTCGTGAACACTTTCTTCTTATTCCTCCCGTTCTTTTTCTTTTTTTCCATGAATCATTTACGCTTTTGTTATTATTTTTCCGAGGAGGCATATTAATGATGCAGTATTTATCAGTTTTGTCACAAAATTGTGAAATATCTGGATATAAACATACGATACCTTCAACTAATCAGTTATTTGCTGCTTAAGATACCCACATTTGTAACTGATATTGTTTTAAGCTTAACACAAAGACAATTGTACGCTTATAGCGCTATAAGTTAGGTAAACAAGGAGTTTATTTTCAATTATGCAGAAGTCAGCTGTGTAAAGAAGAAAAAATCTAAAATATTCAGCATCTGAATAAATTAGTACCATTTCGTACACTATGCAGCTTAAAGAAAATATTTCGTCTAATATTCAGCGTTTTGCTGTTTAACTGCTTTGCTTAAATATGTTATACAAGACAATGCAAAAACTTCAGCTACTGTGCAGATAATAGCTGTTTCAATTACTTTTATTTGAATATCGCTTGTTTAACAGATTCTACTCTTGCTTACTATTCAGCTTGAAAAAATACCGCAAACTTTATACAGAATTTAGTAAGCTTACAACATTATTTTAATTTTAAAATTATCTTATTCAAAATAAAGCCATAACGTCATCTGTAATACAAAAATAAAAAAGCTTGACACTGCTTATTGTGGTATATTTTCGCTACTATCTGGCTTATGTGTTGGCTCACATTTCGATAACATCATAACAAATTGTAACTTTATTATGATCGTAACATGATAAACAATGAGATACTCATGTTGCCAAATAGAAGATTTTACAAAGAGGTAATATCAGATTTTCACGCGCTTAAAATATATATTTGCAAACGTCTGATTCGAGTAGGATTTAATGTGGGAATAATGAAAGCCTGTTTCACGCCGGGTTCTTGCATTAAGAAGAGTAATCGCACCGATCTCAGTTTATGATGAAGAAAGACACAATGCACGTGATAATGCAATAGACATTTCAATACACTGAACAAGACAATAAAGATTATAACTCAGATGAAATATTGGGAAGAGATGCGGTAGGTTCCTTTGAATGATTTTTTTTATTAATAATAAGGTTAATTGCATTTAACCACCATAGTGTTGTGCTGGTAAAAATACTACGTCAAATGTAGCGCTGTGACAGAATTAGATATACGATCAAATATATTTAAAAGCTGGAGTAAACAGGTAAAAAAAATATATGGAAAAAAGTAAAAATAATTATTTCAAGCAATATTTTGAGCTTTATTTATATTGCATACAGTTGCACAAACTTCCACGATGGCGATTCGAAGCTTTAAATAATTTTCTAAATTTGAAAATTCGTATCGGTAATTTCGCTTTAAAGTAATGGCAATTTTAATAGACATTTGAGCGACTGGGTGGTAATCAAATATTGGCATACCTAGTGTACTTTGTAAAACAGCACATAGTTATACTGAATTTAAAAAGATGGACGTTTATGCAACGGGCAGTGTTTTTATGATGAAATCTACTTTACCACTAGCTTCGTCATCGTTCATAATAATCGATAATATTCTTTGCTGTCTGAGGAAACAGAAATAGTGAATTACTTCGGTCGAATGTAAATTAGTTACTTAGTAAACGAACGGTGCACGCGAGTCGTACGATTCAAAAATAGAGCTTCTGAATCGGGTCCTGACAACAATGGACAATTAATAAAGAGATACACCTAGGAATATTCGTAACTTTGTTTTAGTACTTCGCATACAATATTTGTGCAGTCATTTTCCTTGATCTACGTAATTATTGAGAAACTTCTTTAAGTCAAAACTGCATTATATGTGGCAATTTGCAGACGGTCACGACTTACATAACGGAATGTTCAGTTTTATGTTCTTTTTGTTGTTGTTGGTATATAAAATCTATAATTTTCATTGAAACTGTATCGAATACCGCGAACTGACAGATTTCTGATAATTACGACATTTGAGATTCACCGTGAACACAATGAATATTATAATTCACTTAACTAATCAATAAACGATATTATAATCTATTTTAAGATGTCGCCATTTCTGAATTTTTAAGATGTCTCCGGCTGCATATCTCCGGCATAATTTAGCTACTTAATTTTGGATTTGATGGATTTTTATTATATCATCTAACATTTATTTATTTATATTTATACCAATCAATTGTTTATTTGCTCTAATCAGCTAATATGACATTTAATTCGCGGGTAAAGCCTAAGTTATTAATAAAAACACACAATTTTGTTTATCCATTTTTTATTACATGTAATTCTTATTTTTATATATTTGGGATAATGAAAAACCTATCCACAAGAAACATCTAGAACACGAAATTAATACTTATTATTATCTATGTGATGGCAAAAATATTAATAGTAACATTTCACAACATATATTTTTGATATGTCAACAACAGTTTCAATTTCCATCCTGAAACAAAGCTAAAGTGTGGACTGCTCACACTCGAGCAAGAATCGGAAACTCATTTCTTTAGTAGATCCCTCGAGTGAATAGTTTATCGACCTCATCAATCCCTCTCAGTATAAACCATAAAGTCCTTTTCTATTTGCAAACATCGGGATCCCAGGGATAACATGCTATTTACTTTGACTACGTATTTGTTTAATAGTAAAAAGAAGTTTTATAAGAACGAAAGGCTTGAAATATAGATTTTAGAGGTCGTAAGTACTTCAAATTGAAAAGTGAACCCTGTATCACTCGCTTGTTAGATCTGTTACAGGGATAAGTTAGACAATGTTATAAGGTTTGGCAAACTGTATCATGTTACACGTTGGATAATAGGGCTTAAGTCTTCTTAAATATACTTGTGTGTATAGGTAGTATATATATATTTTTGTATTTGAGATATTTTGTCTGTGGTTACAGGAGGAACATTGAGTTAGAATAATGATGGGTTTCTATCTGGAGATGCGTTTATTATAGGTATTAGGATGTCGGCTTGTATGATCATTAACCATTCGGGACGCTGCGTTAGAATATTTTTACGATCAGTCAGCACAAACGTCCATTAAGGTTTAATGACTTTAAGCTATAATGAATGAAGTAAATATGTATCGGTAATGTGGCTTTAAATTAATAACAATTATAATGTACGCTGCGCAACTCGCTGTTAGTCCAGAGAAATTTTATATGTACCATAACATAGAGAATTACACTAAATACTTTTATTCACACTCACATAAATAGAGATCGCTGCTTTCATGTGAAAAAGAAATGATATGTAATAATGCTGAATACTATCTTATTATAAGATTATCTTAGTCAAGCCAACAGATAGTGATACACAATCACATGTGAATCACCTGTGTGAATAATATAATATAGGTAGATAGCAAATCGGTAAAGAAGCGAGAATATGTATAAATACAATTATTAATTGTTTTTTTATTTTAAAATCCCTATTTACTGCTCTTTAGGTACTTGTATAAAACAGATGGAATTCAAGAATCGACTGCATTAAAAAGTTCAAATATTACGAGAGGTTGCGAATGTTGTGATTTTAATAAGTACTATAAGACACATTTTTAGGTATATCTTGATTTAATTACATGGGCAAAACAACAGTGTCTCAGTAAACCAGCCAATTTTTTACCCTTTTCTAATATGTAGTTGGAAATGGATAAAAAATTAATGAAATACAAATAAAAAACCCTTTTTGTAGTAAAATTATTAACACCCTGCAAAAGGTGTAAATATAATTAAATTTTAAAACTAAAATTGTTTTTCTTCGTTTAAAATATTTTCTAAATAATCGAGTTACCGCCTTTTTATGAGCTCCAGCTTAAATAAAGGCGGGATTTGAAAATCTTCAATTAAAAAGGACACTTTTACACTTGGGATTGTTTGTTTAACGGGACACGCTCGCATAATATGTACGTAATTACGTTAAGCAACAGATGTTTGGCCTTTAGGGTTATGTAGATTTACACCCAGTCTCTGAGTTGAGAATTTAGTTTATAGGACTATATATAGGATTTTTTGCAATTTGAAACATAAAAAGTCTTAAGTTATTGAGTTAATAATCAGTTGAGATTTTCTACTTTTCTCAATTCAGAAATCGGTCGTTCATCTATTTAGTTTCCCGCAACATAATTCTGATATTTTAGTATTAGAAAGCTATAGACGGATTATGAAGTTTTATATGTGTGTGGTACTCATACGTGTATCATTTTTTCAAATCAAACTCAGATTTTGGCCCTAAAGTTATAACAGTTAAATATAAATAATAATAAAAGATAAATAATGTATAAATAATAAAAATGAAGAATATGGTAACATTACAGATTATTTTTTTTTAGGTATTTTTAGATTCATTGTCTATTGGTCTGAGAAATGACCAGAAACATTTTATTTAGGTACTCAAGGCCAGACTTGAACACGTAATCTCGTGATCCTGGAGACTGTTAGATCAATTATTATATAATAATTAATTCAACTCAGTCAACATGGAATAGAAATCAAGATTTATCAAACAGATATTATAATAATTTAATATATTTAAAAATTTATGAAAATGTCAACTGTCGTGTTATATATTTTCTTATTCTATTAATTCGAGTCTCAATCTTTAGTTTAGCAAATGAATAAAATTTTGCAGCAGTGACCTTAAAATCGCGTTTGAATTCATGGTGAAGTCGGCCCTTCTGGGCAAGATTTTAAATTACATTATATACATTTCTATTTTAATTTCGTGCTCTAACACACTTTTAAAAGGTTAATTATGCAGCACTTTTACAATAAAAGCTGAGAACAATTAAATACCGTTAATTATAGTCCGTATTTGTAGCGCAATTTGTCATCCCGTGTCTATCTATCTATTCCACTTCTAGGCACTATGAGAAAGGGAAATTATTTTATATGTACATTATCTGTATGCTATTATACCTCCCCTTAACGTTAAAAGTCTAACAGATAAAAATAATGACAGACGTAGAGAGTGACTACCATGTGGTGAAATCAGAGTAGCCGGTCAATTGTGTTTTAAGTATCCTTATTTATCTTATTGAGATAGAGCGAGACAGAGCGCAATTGCAAGTACACCTATTATATGATTATTGCAATTTATGTCATATTATTTTATCCAAACTCTACGTGACAGCGCTGCGTTCGAGGCTGTTTTTAACTGAATTAAAAAAAGGAATATGTTGTTTTAAGCGTGGTCATTCTCATTACTATAACTAAAAAAGGAAGTTTTGGTTTTTGCCCGTATATATTAGCGCGTTTGACTAAACAGATTTTGATGCGACTTTCAAAATGTCTCCGTTCTGCGGGTTTAAATTTTTATAGTTCTTCTTCTCGATCGATTTCTAGGACTTTCTACCGAATTTGTATAGTAAGTTTAATAATTAAAAGAAACGTCAAGCTGGAAAACTATTTGACTGAAAAAAGCAGTCTTCTTACCATTAAAGAAAAAGAAATGCACACTCATTTAAACAATCATATCACTATAAAACACTACACGATACCACAGAAAGTTAACACGTTTTTTTTAAACAAGAACCGATTTTGTCTGTTTGCACTTTTCTTATTTCACAAATTTGAATTCGGAGATGATGTTCATTTGTTGTTTGATTTTAAACTTTATTAGCGCGATGTTAAGGGCGGGTAGTGAGAGCGAACGACAGTCGACGCGGGCGCACAAGGCCGTTGCGCATGCGCGGATGAGACGCGGAGGCTGTTATCACGAGACGACTGCTTTAGTGTGACCACAGTTTTGAGTTGTATCAGGACATGTAGTAATGCTCTTAAGACCTTGTCAGCAAAAAGACGTCCTGATTGGGTGGTAGACCGAAACTTTGGCGATCCAATTGTACATTTAATAAGTTAATATGAATTAAGAATTTTTGTCATGGCGGTCCTCAAGACGAATTTAATATATTTTTTGTTACTAATGACCTAGTGTTTCTGTGCTTGCTCCGATTAATATTTTCCTTTTTTTTTTATTAAAGATGTAGGATTTTGATGTTTCACTGAGTTCACAGCTTTTCATTTTTCCTCATCAATCACCGTTGTATATCAGCCATTTACAAAAAACCGAATGGGTTATACAATTATCCCTATACGTTAATGCATGCCTATTAAAAATAGGAGTTTTCAGTTAATATAGCGTCAAGCGGGGAATTCTCTAGGCGGGCATGCCCGCGGGCCTCATTATTATAGGTCTATGTAATGACTGTGACGCCGACGGTCCGGCAGGCCTCGGGCATGCCCGTCTAGTGAATTATCGGCTTTTGATAGACTGTGGGGAACTTCATAAAAATATACCACATAGCAGTGGTGTTGCCAGATTTAATTTTGTGTAAGAAATTAGGAAAATTAGTTAATGTTATAGCATGTATACATAAGTCTTTAGAAAAAAATAATCAATTAGCACTCGTCGTGTGGCGCCGCGAGCGGTACTAGTATTCATACATTAGCTCGACACGTAGGACGGGACTAGTGTAATTACTCCCATACTAAATATATGAAACCGATACGCCGGAGCGGGAGTAACAGTTTTCTCGCGACTTCGGTCACGTAAATGAATGATAATAATAACCTATGTAGCCTTCGTGAGATATAGCTTCTCATAAGTGAAAGAATTTTTTAAATTAGTCTATTAATTTCGAAATCTACTCTATACAAACAAACAATCGAATCTTTCCTCTTCATAATATCAGTATAGATAATACGGGTAATGAGATAATTCATCGGCTTTACTCAGTTTTATGGAGGAAAATTTCCTGTAGTTTTGTAAAACCGATTATTTTTTGGCTAAATATTAACATTTAACACAAGGTTACTTCTTAGTTAAATAGAAACTATTATGTGCTCAGCAATGTTAATGATTACTATTTTTAATAATAATGAGACTAATTAAGCAGTCGTATGAAACGCTAGGTAAGTACTGTATGAATAAATCAGGTTAGTTTTACCATTACTACCATATATCGAGATGCTAAGGTGCCTGTTGGTACTAAAATGCCTCTATAGCTCTATAGTGTATCAGTCCTATTGCAGAATCAGATCACAAATCCCATCCAACTACAGCGAGTCGTGTGACTTTAAAACAAACTTTTTCGTTAGAGGTTATTTACAACTTTTAAGTTGGCTAAGCGTATCCTTTTGGGTTGGCTAAGCGTAAATATCTTGCACAATTTACGGATGATATCCTATCAAATTGGTGAGACTTTAGAAGATTTCAGTAGCGCATCTCAAAGAATGAATCTTAAGGTGACCGCTTAAATTGGGAACTTTACCTCTGAAATTGTCGACTATTATGTGTGCCGTCTATGCTAAATTTAAATCTATTTTTTTCTCGTTTAATTCTTTCATATTATTTAATTTAAGAGTTATTATTGTTGTGGCCAATTAGGGTAACGACCTCAGTGGTCAGCCATGCATTGTGCTTAGGCACATCTCCTTTTTTTATTCATAATAGGCTTGTTTTTGATCTCAATCCAGCCCAAGAACATGAATGAGATCTATAGTGGGACGAGCTTGCCCAGAAAGAACCTATACAATCTTACCTTAAATAGGTCTTGGTTATATGCACTCGGGAATATAGACGCCACCAGATGGTAACAAAAATAAAGAAAGCGTTTGAGCGACATCTTGGAATATCTTCAAAATGTCGATGGTATGGTGGTAAAATGGTGAAGGTATGAGCTCGTGCAACTCCACATACCCCCCGTAGTATATATCGCTTCAAACGTATGAGAATAACGTTTTAATTTATTTAATTAATGAAATTATTTTCTGCATCAGTTCTGTAGGTAATCCATGAAGATAATTGTCATTGGCGAATCTAAAACAAATATTGTGAGACGTAGATCAATTGATAGAGGAGTAGATAGGTAAACGAACGCTTATGATTCAATTCCGTTTCGGGCATCTGATATTCTACAAGACTTTACCCGTTTTCATAAATAAATTATTAAAATAAAAAGTTATAAAATGATAATCATAATTCTATAATTGAAATTTCAAAGGATGATGAATTAGTAATTGTTATTAAGGTATTGTATACTGGTGACGATACCTTATTTAATTAAATAACAAATTAAAATATTCAGACAATATCTTTACAAGTAAGTATACAATTAAAGTTTATTACTTTGATACCACTGATATTTTAATGAGGTCAACTTTAATGTTTGTTCATTTGTTTGGATTAAATAGGCTCTGAAACATCTCGATCGATTTTAAGTCTTTACACCCACGGGAAGCTTATTCATAGTCGGGTGACATCATTTACACAAGCGAAATCACGGAAAAACATATAGTCGGATAATAATCAAGAACACGTGATTATTAGACATCGATATCATGAGAAAATTGTGTAGCACCGTTAATGTGCTAATATAATACTATAGACACGAAAGCGATCAAGCGCGACTCGCTTACAAAGTTCAATAAGACAGAATAAAACAATATTCCTTTTATAGATAGGTATGTTAAGATACAAGTCGCGCTCAATTTAAATACGATTTTTGTGTCAAAGAACATTGTTATAATCGTTTATTTCTGCTGTCATTTTCAAATGTACCATACTTTTGTATAATGCTGACATTTACCAACCGCTTGAGACGACTGCGCGGGGGTTAGGAACAGTTTTATTATTCTTCTTTGCGAGAATTGTTATTCTTAATACAAAATGCTTAAAAAAAACCACTTGGTCCCTGGCAGGACTGATGAATCTTTCAAGCACTTATTACTTTTCACTACTACAGAGCATTGTGAACGCAAAATTAATCAAAATATAATAATTGAGAATTTTTGGTTCAAAATCATAATTGAAGCTTAAAATCGTCATTAATTCTTGATGTACATTCGTAGGAACGAGTAGGTTTACATGTGTAGGTACAAAGGCAATTTTTTCGTGCTTATAGATACAATGTTGTATAAATTTAACCTGATCTTAAGGTTCCAGTAATTGAATTAGAACTATTGAATTATTATATTTTTACGCGCATTATCCATAAATGAAATGACTTTTGAACGGTTTCATCACCTTTATATTTAATTTTATTGACGTTTCGGTCCCTTTACAGGTTCCGTGTTCGCATAAGACTAAGGTGTTGATTGAAATCGACGAAACCATTTAAAAGTTGTTTAATTTATGAATTAGAATTAATAAATCTAATAGGCATAAATACATCAGTCGTGGAAGGAATCGCATATCAAAAAGTTAAATTAATTAATTGTCTCTTAAAATCATTAACAATAATTAATCTATCTTTGCCCATTCGTGGATGATTTAGATGCACCGAGCCTTTTTTAACTGCTACACACAGGTATATCATGTATCTAATACATACATACATGACACATAGCTTGTTTAGCTTGATAAGTGACTGGCTGACCCGACAAACTTTGTCCTGTATTATCAAAAAAAATATATATATTTGCAGCACGCATTCTGTTAATTCTATGTAAACATCATAGGGTAACATTGAAAAAGTTTATATTATCCAAAGCACTAACTTTAGATTATAAATAATTTTATGTGGTGGGTAAATATTCTTAAATTTTAAAATTTTCTACATAAATTTCTTAATTATTCTTCATAAAAACATTCTCTTGACAGTAAAAATACAACAAAAAAAGAACTATCGAAATTGATCCCTTAATTCAATTGCGATTGCGTGACGAAGGGAAATGGGGATTCATTTTTATATCTATATTTTATAGATACTGACTTTGTCGGTGTAATTGTGTGTAGTTATTATAATAAACGTTTTACCTATCTATATAAGCATCTAGTTTGCCTTCAAGGCTTTAACGTTTTGTGCCACCTAAATACATAATAATTCTGCATGATTTTTAACAAGAAAGTCTGAAAGTAATCATCAAATATACATGTAGAAGAACTACCTAAATTGTTAGGATATGACTGGTAAAATTCAAGTACAAGTGGTGCTCATAAGTAGTTATTACATCTCAGATTTCTTGTTCTAGACACATAGCACTATTTAATATCATTTCTTGATCATAATACTTACATGTATAGTTACGTAAACGTTTATAGGTCTAAACCAACATTAACCTTATATTAAAAAGTGTCAAATCCTTTCCAGAAAAATTACCGTGTATTTATTTATTAAATATAGTTGGCAATGGAAATAAACTACTTAAGTTTAAAATTCATGTAAAGAACACACTTATGAGTAAAGGCTATTATAAAGTTGATGATTATTCGCTTGTTCTTCTTGTTAGCAAAAAGACGCCCTAAACAACTGGTAGGGGAAAAAAAATTTTGGACGATTCAAAAGTGCTTGTAACAAGCTTACTTGAATAAAGATATTTTCTTTTCATTTCAATAAATAATTATATATAAAAAAACTTCGTTGTCAATACTTGGTAGAGAATCTAGCTAGATTCAGGCACTCAATATGATACCCAGCTTAGTGTGAAACGGAACCACTTCCAATTTATCACAAAGGATTAAGTCAGATCTACATTGCTGGATCTTACGCGTGAGTGAGTCGAGTAATTACAACACTATTGGTCGCTTAGATATAGGATAAGTTCTGCGTAATTCATTATGCTGCCACCGTTTTTTTTTTCAATCAACAACAATTTCAGAACTCGTGTAGCTCGATTTTAATATTTTCTCATAGAAAAATCTCACCATCACCAGCCCTTTTACGTCCCCACTGCAGGGGCTCAGGCCTTCCTTAT